TGGAAGTCACTGAGCTGGAATCTCAGGTAATCAAAGTTCATCTACCGTCACCTCCGAGCATTTTATTGCCAGTTCCAGTGGAAATTTACTTTCAAGCTACATATAAAACCAAGAGAATTACATGAATATCTATCCGCAGGACATCTTTGTCTTACGAAAGTCTCGTAGCTTAATGCTAACACACTATATAAAATCAATAGAATTACACGTATATTTATCCACAGGACATCTTTGTCGTTCAAAAGTCTGCTAGCTTAAAGCTAGCACACAATGTAAGACCAAGAGAGTGACACATATATTTATCCGCAGGACATCTGTGTCTCACGAATGTCTGCTAGCTTAATGCTAACACACGACGTAAGACCAATTCTAAACACAAACGGTTTACAGTAATTCGTTGCATTCTATTTAAATTACTGTCCATTTTTTTAAATTACATCCTGTGGAGTGCTCTTTATCTTAGTGAGAAAAAAAAGCACTTTACAAATTAAGAAAAAAAACATTACAAAAACATGTAATTTCATTTGGGGTACTAGAATGGATTGATGGCACTACCGTTAATTTCAATGAGCAATGAGAACTTCCGCAATTAATGTTTTCGTGTTAAGAGCGTGGTTAAAGAACAAATTAAACTCGTAAATCAAGGCACCACTGTATCTTTATTATTATTATGTTGGAATATTGTGTTCAGTTTGCTGATGGGGTTTACCTGATCCTCTTGATGGGGCTGTTGGAGGACTACTTCGTGCCTCTCTACAACTTCTTCCTCACCCCGGAGAACTTCGACCAGAAGGTGACGTGACCATCATGGGAGATAAAGTTCTCATTACTGCCCGGTATCAATTATGTCACAAGATGAGATGACCGGTACATCTTTTTAATCAGGTCCACAATGTGGCATTCGCATTTGAGCTCATGCAGGATGGCGGCCTGAAAAAGCCCAAAGCCAGACCAGAAGGTAACTTGACTTGTTATTCAAATGACAACCCCATTCTTATTACATTACATTTTTAATTGAATCATGTACAGTCTTTTTTAAAGATTTATTTCCCCACAGTTAAGCGCAGTGTTAATGGACTGTGCTTAGTGATAAATGTTAAATAGACTTTTAAGGAAGAAAACCTCTGCCTCGATTTTAATGAATGCTTAGCGTGACTGAACTCTGTGCTACAATATAAATAAATCTCTTTTGATACTTGATGTACAAAAAAAATGTGTGAACCCAGAGTGCAAGTTATTACAATACTGTTACTTTCCACTAGAGGGAAACCTCGCTCCATATTTAAAGCGACCCCCAAGCTGCAGTCAATGAACCTTGGCCATCACTTTGCTGTGTAATTTAATGAACCGTCAGCAGCCTGTAGCATGTCATGCATCGATATACATAAATAGTATTATGAGATAGAATGATATTAGGTTGAAAAGCAATCTAATAGTCATGACGGATCGACTACTTAAAGGTTAATCAACATTTTGTGCCATGAAGGCAATTTCAGTCACTGGCTGGAATGGAATGATGAAGTGATACATTTGCTTTATTACATTATCATCAGCAGGCGCTCGCATTTCAGCTCACCGTGATCCAGGCGGACCTCTTCTAGTGGCAAAATAATGCCGAAAAACAATCAAGCTTATTTGTTTTCTCATCTTTTTGTTCCCCTCGCAGCATCATTTTTTGTGGGGAGGTTGTTTGTGGCCAACTCGTGTTTAACCTTGAATCCTAATTGCAGCCCATCGTCATGTTATTCAACCAAACAATTTATCTCCAACGACCTAGTTCTGCCGGGAAAATAACAATATGCAAATAAGCCGTGCGGATGCGATCACAATGCATCTTATGGTAATTATCAGTAAATTCTTATTTTGGCCTAGTTTGTGCTCTACAAGAAGAACACAGATATAATTGAGTGGCTATAATTTAATGGCAGTGCACCATAAATATTTTTTTTTCTTGTCATTTTTTTTTTCTTGATGAATATACTTTACAAACCCTTTTGTTACTTTTTGTGCAGATGTGGTCAACTTGAACCTCAAGTCCACCCTCAGAGTCCTCTACAACCTCTTCACCAATTACAAGAACTCTGAGTGACAGCTCGCATCTCCGACATAAGCCTGTGTGTGTGTGTATGTGTGCGCGCGTGTGTGAGGTGATGAACAAGGACTTTTAACTCGTTCCGTTGTCAGAGACCATTGGGAATGCAAGTGTTGAATCAAGTGTATTAATAGTTTGAATGCTCAGCCATGACTGTCAAAGTCAACATGTTCAACATAAACTCAACTGCTCATGTTCGCTTATTAAATCGCTTAATATTTGTGTTTTGTGTAGATATTAAAGGATACATATTTTACTTTTTTTTCCCACAATTTGAACCAGTTCCCGTGTGTCTTAATAACAAAAAAAATACCCCAAAGATCAAGAATTGTCCTCATTGTCAATGTGTCACTGATGTACCTGATCAACAGTGCAAGCTAACTAGCATTTAGAAATGTTAACACGTTTTTCATTAAAAAAAACAAACAAAAGAATTGAAAATTCAGGTTAGCGGTGGCTCGCTAACGCAAAATGAGTGGATTCGGATAAAACAATAACAATGACAAAAAAATCAATAATGAACATACAGGGTACAAGTAGATAGCTAACGTCAAATTAGCTTCTGGTAGACTTGAATAAGCTGAGCTAATCAATAGTGCAGTCTGCAAGTTTTAGCGAAACTGCATGAAATCACCACAAAAGTACTCAAATGAAACTCTGGTATATAGTGTGTAAACTAAAAGGGTAAACTTAATACTCAGCAGAGCCTGTTTTAGCAATGCTAGCCCAGCTTTAGCGTTCACTCTTTCATGACAGTTTTTATGTTTTAGCCGAATGTAGTTTTCTAAATGTTTAGGCACAATGTTGACATTTTAAAGTAAATGAGGGTTAGGGTTTCAAAACAGTGTTTTAAACCAGGATTACGGTTTGAAAGGATGGGTTTTACATTACGGTTACGGTTTCAATGTAGGGTTCTAACCCATGGTTACGGTTTGAAACTAGAATGAGTTTGTTGAAGTCGGGTTAGAATCTAGGGTGAGACTTTTGTTCGTTCATTGCGTGCGGGCGGTGCATGGCAAAGAATTTGGTTTCTGACCAAATTTGATGACGGCCATTTTGATTTGAAGGGGCCAATTCGGGGGAGGGGGGTTGTCCATTACCACTGCTTGTTCAAAGACAAACTTGTCCTTGAGATTTTGTCTGATTCTTACCGCATTTGAACCATGTCGACCAAACAGATGGTCGACGCTAACTCGTCGAACCGTTTGGTTTGAGACATTGCGTGTGGGTTGGGCCTGGCACTGACGCCCAATGACTGAGTCTTTTGAAAACTTGGAAGCGGACCGGCGTAGCCCAACCCGATTGCGTTCATCTCCCCTTTGGTGCCAAATAAGCAGTTGCCTTTTAAGTGCAGCCCTGCCCCGGGTGGGCTGCAGTCAGCGAGGCCTGCTATCGACTGACCTTTCAGACCATCTCCGAGAGGAGGGCGGAAGACCTGTGGCTAAACCACCCCTCCCTCTTCAACCACCGCCCGCCGCTTGCAGACCTCGCCTGCTGGTGCAACTGGGAAGATGAGTGCATGGCAAGCTGCGCTTTCTGACGCTTGGCTGAATTATTGAAAGTGGGAGATGAGTCAACGCGCTGTCAGGAATCACCAGAGTGACAATTTGTTCGCGCTGCCTCCGAAATATTCCACCAATTTGGGCAAAGGAATGATGGGTTTATTTTAGAGCTCAATTCTTTGTTGCTATGGTAACCTTCCACATGCCCCCCCCCGCCCCCTTCCTCCAAATTGCCCCTTTATCTGGCTGTCGGGTGGTCCCTTTTTTCACCTTATTTTTTTTTTCAACTTGTTTTCCACGCTTCCTGTCTGTTTTGGTGGATCTAATGGAGGCTGCTGGACGCATGGGACTCCAATTGATGTGCTCACATACGCACTTTGCCTTGAGTGGTCCAGCCCGCTCAGTGTCACGTTTCAGCAGTCCTTTCATTTGGAAACAGTGTTGGTCGGAATGCTTTGACTGGACTCGGGTTAGGGAAAAATATGATCTTGGAAAAATGATCTTTCACAGGAGTGTGGTGAATCATGGTTAGCATGTTTGAATCACAGTTTTGAGGTTCTTGAGTGGGAATCTTTGGTAGGCCTTTCTGGAGTTTTTGTGTGTTACTCCTTTGCTTGCATTCAGCTAAGCGGCATTTTATTTGTTTATATTCTCTTATTGTTTTGGTTATAAGATATTTGGTGTTTTCATTACAGTTTGGTTTTATTTCATTTTGACATATTCAGTTCGTTTTGAATTCGTTTTTTCAAATATACTTTGTTTCAGTTGAGGTTTTATTGGTTTTAGTATCAGTATTATAATTATTTAAAAATTTTTTTTTGCATTTTGAATATTTGACAAGTATGGTGTAGTTTAGTAAAGTAGACTCAATCCTCAATTGACTGTCGGTCGTTTTTTTCCGGACGGACAGAACTTAGAATGCAGGGTTTTTTTGTTTTTAATTCATATTTAGTCCAAAAATGCTGGTGTTTTTCAGCGGCTGGGAAAGATGAATGGCATTTCAATTCATTTAAAAATGCATTCAATGTCCAGAAAATAGATTTGGTAGAAGGTGTCTCTGCACATAATTGACAACCATTATAAATGCACTCAATAAAATGTAACCCCCCCCCAAAAAAAAATCTCACTCATAAACTGACGATAAGTGTTTTCCACCGCCGCCCCCCCACAAAAAAACCCAATGTAAAATACTGAAAAAAAATATAGAAAAAAAAATCCATACGCATTTGCTGAACTGCGAGTATGACAATAAAATTCATGAGTCAAGGTACCACTTTATGACATATGATATTTTCAGAGTGTCTCATTTCAAAGTGTTTGGAACACTTCCCGATTCTATTCACTGTACTGAAGTGACATCACAGTAAAATATGGAGGAAGTGCTACTGTTTTCGACACCGCATCCTCTCAAGTGTGTCTTGCTTCACTTCTGACTCGCTGACATTTTATTTTCTTCCAAGCGCCCGCCTGCTGACAGAGCTTTTCATCGCAATCCACAATAGATTGAAGTTGAACGCCTTTATTTATCCCTTGGCTTTTTCTCGCCAGCCTTAAGCCATCGGAGGAGGTAAGCAGCTTCAAAAAATAGATTTTTCTTTTTTTTCAGTGATCTTGTTTGCAAGAGAGGAAGAAAAAAGTCAGAGGCCACACGCAAGTGCAAAGAGGATGTGGAGGTCTGACTTGTCACCACTTGTTACTTTGATGTATTGACTCAGAGATGACAACGGAACTAAAACGTCCACGCTGAGAGCCTTTCATTGAAGAAGGTGTCATACTGAGGAGGGAAAAAAAAAAACCAAACCAAAAGGTCTTCACATGTTTTGAAGGCTTGACTTGCCGGAATTTTTGTAGTATTCTACAGCAAAACATGATGGAAATTTGAAAAAAAAAATGTGTGTTTTAAAATATTATCATATGCTTTTAGTTTTAAATATTCTTTGGAGCTTCTTTTTTTCCTCTCTAAGTTTGCTTTTCATTAATCAAATAATTAGGTCTATTATTTTAAGTATTACTATTAAGATGTTTATGCAAAAAATTTAATCCATGCCCACCATAATAAAGTAAAATAAGAAGAAAATAGCTTTTTGCCCTTAATAACATGCATAGGTTTATTTAAGATAAGATAAGATAAGAAAACCTTTATTAGTCTCGCAATGGAGAAATTCCCAATTCACAGCAGCAAAGTTATGAATGGAAGAAGTAGAACAACAAAATATAGGAGCTGCTGGAAAGGCAGCCACTCACGCTGCGCCATCTTGAAGTCAAAATAACACAACACAACACATATTGCTGTATTCTCAATATTCTTCTTCTTTATATTATATTTGTTTGTTTTATATTTCATGCGCTTCATGAATTAAGTTGAGTGGACGTCAGCTCAGGTTTTTTTTTTTTTATTTTGCAATTTTCCGACTCAAGTCGAATGAGTAAAGTATCAACTACTGCCAGAGAGGGCGCTATGGAGACGGATAAGTCTCCGGATCACAATGAAGCACAAGAAGAAGACGACGCAGCCGTCGATGCCGAATGCTTCCTGGGTAAGTTCCTTTCTAACCAGATGGAAAACTACAAACGTCATTTCAAATATGAACAGAAGACGTGCTGTTAATACATTCCATTTTTCATCATACTTACGAATTAAAGATTCACCACTCAACAAAGGATTTGAAACAAACAATAAAATAATCACAGACTATGATTTGTTTTTCCCAGTTCAAATGTCAAAAAAATAAATAAAAATCGGTTTCCAGGATGACAAAAAAAAAAAACAAAAAACAACTGCTGAGCAACATAGCAACATTTTCACAAAAATCAACTCATTCAACATTTTAATATTGTTGAGGTGCTATATTTATCCTGGATGTCATTCCAAATCAGCTAAAAATGATCAGGCCAGCTTCAAAGTATCAACTGGAAGCTATTCTCAGGGGGAAAAAAAAAACAGCATATAATGTCATGTCATAGCTTGGGAACTCGACGATGACGTTGCATTGACTGAGAGATGGTTATTGATCCTTATTATGATATGATATTGTCCAAACAGTTGAGAGGACTAAGATTATTCAGCCGGCGTCTCTGAAAGACAGCAAACTGGAGAAGCTCAAGGAGGTAAGAGAATGTTTGTGTTTCATAAACAATACAGGGACGGATGTGTTTCGATAATTTTGCGATGCCGATTTTCTGTCTGCACATCAGTGGCTCTCCACGCGTCATTGGAGGAAAATACTTTTTTTCAGGACGTTCACAAAATCACACAGTGTAACCGTAACACACAATACTGAAACGCGATCACGTGCACCCTGACACACTTCACCGAAAGACTCTCACTGTCACGCTGGAGCTACACGGAACTGAATCACTCTCACACATTGGCTTTCACACACTTGACTGAAATGCTGTTCTACAAGCACAGTAAATGCTCAAAGGAGCTCCAAGAAGCTTCCCAGGCTGGCCAAGACGTGCAGTCGACAGCCCGCATGGGTGCAGGAATCAGACCTTCTTGGAGCAGGCAGTGAGGTGGATGGTTGGCTGAAATTTTAATGAAGGTAATTATGGGAGGTGAGGAGAGGCAGATCACAAGTTGGGGTGGGGGGGAGCACTGGTGGTGGATCCACAGTTTGGGGGGGC